ACATAAAAAACTGTTTTTATTATATTTCTTCCAGATGTTTCTGGAGGGAACTGACTAAGAATTGTGCCAAACGATTTGCCCTGTCGAGAGGAATCGAATGAGCAATTGATTGCCTCAGTAGGTACCAAAGACGCATTTGTGTTGCTTACAATAAACAAAAGCATATTTTTAGAATTTATTTTTGAATTTATGAAGAATTTTCTCACAAGAACGGTAGGACAAATACAGGTTACTCGAGTATTCCACTGCACACGAACATGCGAGTTTTCCTTAAATATGTAAAAATATGTACTTTCCATGAAAATATGGACAAATGTGTATTATGAAATGTTTCAAATAACTTTGAAAAATGTCATTCATAAATATACGACAAAAGTTTGATTTTAACTAAAGAAGAAACAAACATGTAATTACGTACAATTCCTAGCCCTCCTAAGGAATATCTTCCCAAGCATCATTTCTTAAAATAATTCAAACTTTCCACTCACAAGTTAGCTCTGCGAAGAAATTACGAGTATCGAGCCCCCTGTGTGTGCACCTCTTTTTTCACAGAAATCTCCTTGTAGGAATTAGACCAATAAAATTGAGATCTGAACCAAAGCCATTATTTAGTTTTGTCTAATGGTCCTTGTTATTCGTTAGCTTCTATCCCAAAATTTTCTCCGTCTTCTTTCGATTTCCTCTAAGAGTCATATTTTTTACTCGATTTTTTCTATCTCTTATTTTTTTTTTTTTGCACTGGCACTGATGGCAACATTCTTCATGTAATTAATTTGTTTTCATCTGCAATATATTCGAATCATTATTTGCAAAAATCAATAGAACTAATTAGCATTAGTGAAGTTTTTTTTGTTAAACAGTTCTTCTACCACAAGCATTTGTAATTTTCTGAAATGGAAGTAGAATTCATCAAAACCACCACATCCAGAATGCACTCTGTTCATCAGAAACCGCTCGTAGTATTTGCGGTCATACATTCTCAACGTCACCGAAGGCGTGACAAGAAAACTTCTCGAGAGCAACATACGAGTATGTCCCGCAATGAACTTCCTCCTTGAAACATGACTCCAAGGACCCATCCTTCAAGCTCCGCCGCGAACCAAGGGAATAGATTTCCTTTCTGAATGGCCAAAACGCGCATTCTCCGTCCTCGTTGAGCGACGCGCACTGAGCCACGAAGATGAACGCGGCTGAAGAGAACCGAGCAGTATTTTTAGTGACTGAGTGGCTGATGGAGGCGGGGGTGCGGCCGAAAGCACGTGACGCGAATGGGCCTGGATCGCACGCGTCTCCTTCGCATTGAAACTCAGAGTGCGTTGGGGTCGGAGACGCGGCCAAATCTCCGCGTATTTACGTGTTTTCGAAGGCGACGAGCGTACGAACTGGACATTGCGTCAACGGTTGTTCATGTGGGAGAATTAGTGAATGGATAAATGTATTGTTATGTATTCAGTAGTCGCATGACTGGGTGGATAATAGTGCCAAATATTCGCGGGTTCTTTTCTTGCCTGTTGCTGAAAACTGAGCAGCATACTAACTGTGGCATTCGTTCATGTTAAAGTACTTAATGCACGGAAAGCGATATTGTTAGTTACACATTCTGCCCGCTTTCTATCAATGACATTCCGTGTGTAGATTCGCTCATGACACATTTATTGCTTGACCCTATCTAAGCGAGTAAGTACTTAACCTTTACGTACGTGTGAATGTACATGTTATATATTTTTTTCGTTGAGAATATCTATTGCCTGAAGTACGATCACCGGTCAAATATGATATTCTCTGTCAAACATGAAGGCTCCTGAAAATACTTGTAGTCTGACAATGAAGACTTAACGAATGAGCCCCTCTCCATTAATCAAACAATAAAAAAAAATTAACTAGCAATGTATTTCTTCCCTTTCATATGATTAACTCTTACACATTCATTCGCAAAAAAATAAATCAGTAATCAGCGTTTATTCTGTTTTAACTATAACAAAATACGAAAATTGCAAACATTTTCTCGCGGAGCGCTGGCGTTTGAAGTTAACTGGTACAATGCCACATCGAGGAAGTGCGAAGCTCTCGCGAGGGCATCTGATTGATACTTGTTTCATTAGTCATTCTGGGGCGCGTCAGCTGCTAAGGCTATTATTCCCGTAAATGTAGTGTTTTTCTCGGGAGGGGGTGATCACCCTCGGCCGGATGGCGCTGACCTACCCGCGGCTAGCGCGACAAGCTCTACGTTCACGACCCACATCCCGACATGTGTGGTACTGAAGCGCGTGTAAGTGTGTTTGCGTATAAGGGTGAGGTTAGGACACGGAAGAGAAAGAAAACATCGCTCTTGGTCCGTGGCCCGTTTGTTACATTACTTCTCCGGTTTTCTCCAGGTGTTGATCGCAGAAACCACAGAAAACTACCGATCAGAGCAGACGGTCGCCAGAATTCTTCTCCAGACAGCGACTGAACCTGACCTTCCATTCTAGCTAGTATCTAAAACCCTCCTACGGACGGGTGTCGGGCCTAGGGCCCCAGGGTATCTGAGAGGCGGCGGAGAGAGAAGCGGACGGGCGCGGGGCAGGATGCGCGCGGCGGCGGCGACGTCTTCCTTATTGCGCGCGCCGCGCCGCGCCGACTTCCGCCCGGGGGCACGAAGACACGCGCCGCGCGCCTCTGGGTCAATTGCTCCGTGCGCGCGCCCGCCCAGCGTCTACACTGGGCGATCCACAGTATCCCGACACGGGGCAGCGCCCTCCATCGGTAATGCTGGAACTCAACAGGGCACTGGCCTTGATGACAGCTTCCGCTCGCAGGCATGCTTTCAATCAGGTGCTGGAAGGTGTCTTGGGGCACGTTCTTCACGGAGTGCTGCAGAGGTATCGATGTAGGTAGGGAGGCCTGGCACGAAGAAGGGTTTCCAAAACATCCCAAAGGTGTTCGATAGGATTCAAGTCAGGACTCTGTGCTGGCCGGTTCATTACAGGGATGTTATGGTCGAGTAACCACCCCGCCACAGGTCGTGCAGTATGAACAGCTGCTTGATCGTGTTGAAAGAGGTAATCGTCACCTTCGAATTGCTCTTCAGCAGTGGGAAGCAATAAAGTGTTTAAAACATCAACGTAGATCTGTGCCGTGATAGTGCCACACAAAGCAACAAGGGGTGCAAGCTCCCTCCATGAAAAACAACGCCACACCATAACACCATTTTGGACGTGTCCGGATACTTTTGTATAGTGTATATGGACGAGCTACTCTAACAATAAGAAGGGACGCTTAGGCAGGTCGGAAAGAAAGGAACGTCTTTCAGGGCGATGACATTGCATCAGGTTGTGATTGTGCAAATCAGCTAACTGTAAATGAACGCAAAGACATCATCTTTTTCGTTAACAGGGCCCATCCAAATGAGTTTTTCTGCCGAAACTTCGCTTTTTCCGGCGTACGATAGCAAGACTTTCTGTTCTTACGAAGGAAGAGTGATGTATCTTAGGTTGTAATAAAATTAATTCATTCCTTTTTGTTTCCGGGGGCGGACGTTGTGAAAAGTTACCTTCTCCTGACATCTCCGTCAACAGGTCCTACTCCATCCGGAATAAGCTCTAGGCACCCGACAAGACTCCCAACATGTCGGAGAGGTAGTAGAGTACATGAAAATGTGTTTGGGTGTAAGGGGAAAGGAGGGGCCATTGATAATGAAGATGGCGCGTGGCCCTTGGCCTCATTCAAAAGGTACTTCTCGGGCATTCGCCTGGTGGTGATTGGAGAAACTGCAGAAAACTACCGGTAAGAGTTGCGTAGAGTTGAGAGATTTGAGTGGAGTTGAGAGATTTGAGTGGAGTTGAGAGATTTGAGTGGAGTTGAGAGATTTGAGTGGAGTTGTCAGAGTAGTCGGCTGCGAGAATTCTCCTCCAGAGAGCAGCTAAATTCGTCCTAACTATCTAGCTATTGTCGAAATGTCGTCCGATATAAAAGAAAAAATAATTTTGCGTGAAATGCAAGCAATTTTAAAACAATTATTTTCTAAAGACGACTCCATTTTTTTTAGTTACAGTTTCTCTCGTATGTATAAAAGAACGGTAAAATTGTGGTGCTGGTCTCATTTTCGTCCAATTCTTAATTTTCAAAAATTATCATTGTAAAACTGCGTTAATGTTCACACCGTTTTTTCTTCATGAAGTCTGTTCAATGAAAAATCTTAAAATATATTTATTTACATTTTCCGAAAATAAAAATTGTCTAATTTTTAGTGAAATACAGGCAATTCAAAAAACAAAAATCCCAATAAAAAGCTCGAAATTTTTTCTTTAGTTTCTTTTCTTGAGTATATCAAAGCATGCACATAAAAATTGAAAGTCTCATATTCGTTTAACTCTGCAATATTCAAAAATGTAAAAAAAATAACATTGCAAAAATGTATTACACAGACACTTTTCGTTAATGAAGTATGTTTTAAAAAGTTAGATATTTATATAAGATCACGTACATTTTTTCGAAAATATGAGCGTTAGCCGTTTCACCCCCTATCATCACCGTATCATATCCTCTGCACAGTTAACAGACCATTAAAACCAATAGTGCTCGCTAATGACTTGTAGATTGATGCGACCTTAAATTTATAAAAACATAAAAACTCTTCGATACTTTTTTAAATACAAAGATTAATTTAGACTCTTTAATAGGGCGGCTATAAGAACATACTTCAGCAAAACAAAAACTATTGAAGATGAACAATAATAGCGTATTAATTTGTTTTAAATTCATGTTTTTAAAGCTAAGAGATTTAAATGCCTATATTGTCATTAAATTATAAAAAAAACAGGCCGGCCAAAGAAAAAAATTCGTTGAAGTAAAGTACATTTAATATATGAAAAAAATATTTTTATTCTAGAAAAACTCTGCAACTGCCATCGACTACAACATGCTAATATCTTCACTGGCAAGAATAACTGCAATTGTCCAGGAACTACAGTGGATAGTTTGAAACTAACCCTATAGGTGGGGTCTAAATTACTGTGAATTCAAGGTTCAAGGTACAGTACCTTTCCCAATTTATAACTTCAAAACAGAAAGGAGGATATTAGGATAAAGGAAGTGATATTAGCTTCAGCATACCTAAAATTATGTGTACCCTGTGATTGTTATCAATACCTCATTTTGTACATTTTGTAGTTCTTCACATTCTTGCCATCTAAGCACAGAAATGTTTTACTCCACAAGGAAACTAAAGAATCGTATTTTACTCTTCATCTAAACAACAGGCTCATGTGGTAAATATTGGCAATTTGCTGTTTTCTTCCCCGCCAAATACTTCCCCTCTAGCAATTACATAGCCATTTTTGGTACAATAAGTAAATAAAACAAATAAAAAATATCTATATTAGTGGCTAGGATCATGTCATAAAGTTTGCTCTTCCGCCTGACCACTTTCAATATTTTAATAGAAAAGTTCGTAATTAAAAAGGAGATCATTCAAAGAAAATACGAACGCAAATAGGGGGAAGGGTTTCTCCCGTATATGAAAGACCTAAAAAGGAGGGAGTTGACACAACTCACAGCATTCTCACAGCATTTTTATCATTAAATTGACTAACTTAAAAGTTCGAGGTGGATTTAAATTATTCAGAAATATATCAAGTGACTACGAGATTTTACTCAAATGTAGTGAAATTATGTTTGTGTGACAGCAAGAAGAGAATTACAAATGAAGTGTTTAACTAAAGAAGACTATTAATACTATGAGTGCAATGACGTACAATGATTTCTGAAAGGAAGTGATACGATACGGTCGTCTTCTTAAGACACTATATCGATATGAGCTCATTACTGCTATAACTTAATTTCTAAATGTCATGCAGATTTTGATCGTAGTTCTTTCAGTGCCTTTTCATGAATTCTTTGCTATTTCTTTGCTTTGGGTAAGAAACAAAATTAATTTAATAAAACGATTATCTCATGGGAAGATTAATAACATTTGGAAAGGAAACCACTGAGATGGTATCTTCTGTATGTTCTTCCTATACAAAATGCATCTACAACTCAAACAAATGTTAGAAAAAAATGCATTTTTAACTCATTTATAAAGTTAATACCGATCGAAAACTTTTTCCCTATTATTAAACAGTCAGCGTTAATCCAGTTACGATTTATTGTATGTATCCAGTTGTATGAAAAAAATGCCCGTTCCAAGAACTGGTACCTTAGATAGTACAATATGAGTAGTGCAATTAATAATTAAGATTACGGTTCCTCTTTATAGTTATGTCAACATTGAAAACCGAAAACGTGCAAAGATGCACTTAGTGTAAATGTTACAAAGTACGATATAAATAAGAGTAAATATTTCATACAATCTAAAATAACAATTATACTAACACATTTGTTAAGTATTTTATAATTCATTCTTTGTCTGTAAAGGTTACACCTACCCACTAAAAATAAATTACATCTTTCACTCAATAAATGGCTTTTATTATGCTAAAAATATGAAGAAGAAAGTGAATATAATAAGTACACTGAATATTTTTATAATTAAACACCTGCCAGAACTAATCAATCGCGAAAACTTAAGAATTTCTCCTTGTGCGGACTCTATATTGAGTTCGGTATCCTCGAGGTTGGAATCTATTCTCTTGATCACTTCCTCATGTTCTTTTACCATAATAGCCAAATTTTGAAACATCTTTCCAAGTTCTACAATTGTGGATTCAATGTTCTGCATTGTATCACGTCTACTTTCAATATAGTGATTCGAATCGTCATTTAACAACACTTGCCGTTGGTTGTCGACATTCATGTTTATTGCTACATGTTCGTCGCCCAGCAAAACTGATCCATGGATTCCGGCTGTGTTGAATAAAGGAAAAGATGAAGATAATGGTTTCTCCTGAAAATTGTCTCTTCGTGCAATAAGCTGCTTCTGATTCTCGTTTCTCATTTCCAGAACATGTCTGAATTCACGAGACAAAGATGTAAGCCTTGTTTGTAATATCGACACAATATTAGAGCAATGAGTGTTAAAATTTTTATTCCTTTTTGGACTGTACGAATGCTGCATTTCATTTTGTAATCTTGCAGTCTGCTGAATTAAATCTTCAATGTCACCTTTGATCATGTAAATTAGATTCTCAACTTCCAGAGGACGGTCGTTGAATAAAGATTTTTGCTTTGACATAAATGTTAATTTTTCTAATTTTATGTTAGCTATAACCATACTTTTTCTGACCTGTTCGGCTCCATTCATAAATTGAATACTATATTCCGTTTTTTCAGATCTATCTTCCTTGAATGGCACAACTTTATCACATTTTAAATGCATAGATTGAAGAATATGTAAAAATTCCTCTGTTATATCCATTTCCAACAGTTTATTGTAGCAAAACAGTTAGCATGATGACCAACATAATTTAGATGTTTCAAATCTGAAATAGTGACGCCACTTCAACATCGTTTGTGGTAGGCTGAAAATTTAAATCCTAATCGTTGTATTCACTTTCCATGTATTTTCTTTTGCCTGACTGTTGGTAAATTTAGCACAAGAAAAAATATAAATATTTTCTCTATCAGCGTCATGTTTACTACCGTCTACTCATAAAAGCCTTATAACTGCATTTTTTTCATCTAATTTAATCCAAAGTTGCATGCATAAATAGAACACAGATTCCATTTGGGAAACTTTCATCCCCAGATCTTACAACTAAATAAAGTATCTACTAATTGACAAACGAGAAAAAAGACTTTAGTGTTTTAATTTTAAGTTTATATAATGAGTTCTTGATTTTTGAACATATGTTGTAAGAAGTTGATATTACTTTTAATAAACTTCAACAAAGAAAATACAACTCAAGGCCCACTGTTTCATGATTTGCTTGTGAGGAAATAATTGCCGCTCGTTGCATCATAAACTACCATTTCAATAATCAAAATAAACTTGACAAAAGTAACTCTTATTGATCATATGATCTGGGCAGGTAAAGAACTAAATTATTAGAAGCGGATTGTTAGGTAAGAAAATAGCCTACTTTCTGTTGCTTTGGTAATTAATCAAATGCAATGGAGTTCAGTTCTATGTCAATACGGAGTGTGCAGCAATGCAGTGTTTCGTGTGTGTACTAAACATGCTGGATAAACTAGGAATACTGATCCGTTGGGGACACTGGACCGGTGCATTTATTTTGACCAGAAAACGTTTCGGGAATTAGAATTGGTAGCCCTACTTTCCTCCAGTTGGCACTTTTAGCGACATCTTTTTGTTACTCTGTGGGCACAACCATCATAAGACATTGCTTCGTATGCACATTATACATGCATATTTAAGACCAAAAAATAGGGTTACCAGACGTCCTGATTTATCAGGGCATGTTCTGACTTTTGGGCTCTGTTCTGATCTTTAAATATGTATTATCTAGTTGCTGCTTAATTTAATTTTAATATTTTTAGTACAACATGTACAAAAAATAAAACTGTGACAGAAAAAGTGACAAAAGGAGTGAAACGTAGAATTTCTAACTATACGAACAATAAGAATGTCTTATTCTTCCATTTTTTATTGAAACAGACATGTGAAGAATCTTTAATAGTAAAGCTGCCTTAATCTTACAATTTACCGTTGAGTGCAGTAATAATGTTCAAGAAATGTCATGACTTTTTGTGTTTTGATCCAATGTTTCTCATTTTTTTCAACTAGGTCTCTGATAACCTTTCAAAAAATATAAATTGTAGATAAATAACAGTGAATTTTATTTTAAACGGAATGACTTAAAGAGCTGTTTAATATTGATCACTATTTTTGTTTATATTCAAAAAAGGAATACTACTTTTTGTATTTAATGTTAAGTTATGGGCATTAAGTAATCAAAGTTTAATTTTAAAAAATGGGCTCTTCTATGTTATAAGCGAACGATGCTTCTGAAATGGACAAGCAACAAGCATTTGCACTACGGAACATTAGAGTTGTTTTCTTTCCTACACTGCTAATTTAAAATCTGTTAACTTGGGACAATTAGTAAATATTATTCAAGATATAAGTAACAATTAAGAGAATCTAAAAGGTAAATCTAGAATATGCTCAGGCTTTAGTCTATCGTCCAACATTTTCACTGATCGTTGATTCGGATGGTATCCCGAAGTGTTTTTCATTTTATCAACAATAACGTGCACAGTTACCAAAATCCTAATAAAGTCCCGTGTTGGATAAAGCAAAGTTATCCTTGCTATGAAAACTGTGAAGCAGATCGTGGCGAACTAACTCGTTTTCCTACTGCAATGTGGCTGGTGAGAGCATTACCTGCATCCCAAGACGTTACAACACAACTGGCAACTTCCAGGGAGCATAGCGTATCTCTTTGTAACAGGCATTTTCATCTCAAATTAAAAACTTTTAATTTAATGAGTATTTACTGTTGTAATGTTTTCATTTTGCCAATTACTTTCAGCACAAGGACTCCGTATCTGGTATGTGGATTGTGCCCTCATAGGTGTTATTCTGTTTTTTCAATTTTGTATTAAAACACAACCTACTTAAATTTCAGAATTTATAACCATACAACTGCTATTTTAGCAATCTTACTACCAATATGCTCATATTAATGTAAACATAATATAATTGTCATCATTAAACTTGCTACGCAACTGGACTGCTTTTATTCTGTGCCACTGGAGCCGGGGGGACGACTGCCCAACAAATAATATGTTTTTGATTCCTTACAGTCCTCTAGTTAACGGGCACTCAATCCTTTTCATCCCAGGATCACACACTGATCACTAAGAAAACTGCAAATTCTTCCCTCTACTTCGGCGGGATGGCGATTCGGGAGGCGGGAGAGCACCCTTTCCCGCCCACAGCACTCCTATTCGTGACAACTAGGGCAGAACCACCCCAGCGGACGCAGGGGTTAACTGACCCGGCGATGTACACACGCTCCGTGCGGCCGCAGAATTGTCTTTCCGTTTCCGCTCTTCGCGAGCGAGGTGTGTTCGTCAGCGCCCACTCTACGGTAGCCCTCGGGTTGACCAAGGCCATCTTTCTTGACAGACTCTTTCCAACAACTAGGTCATTCTGCGACCGTGATATTTAACATTAGATTTCGGAACGTTAGGGTAGCGGAACTCAGAAACTTGTATAGGGACACAAACATCCAAGCTCCGGGAGGGATTCGAACCCGCAACCGCTCAGTCACGAGACAGCTTCGGGCCTTCGATGGTTGGTTAGTTGTTAGTGATACCGAGCGTGTCAACTACGGAAGTCATTAGTCCCGTAAGTGTAGTGCACGCATTTCCCCCCTCTGGAGGTGCTGGGGATCTTCCCCCACTGAATGACGAGATCCGTGGGGTGTTCCCCAACCGAGTATCCCACCAGCGAGGCACCGCCCCAGCTGGGACAAGCTCTATGCTCCCGGCCGCTCTTCTGGCGTATGTGGTATGTGTGTGTAAGGGGTGAGGATGGGAAAAAGAACGGGAAGGAAAGATCGCGCACGGTTTCGCAGCCCGTTTGTTAGGGCTCCGGCATTCGCCTGATGTGGGTCGGAGAAACCACGAAAAATACCGATTAGAGCAGCCGCGCATTAGAATACTCCTTCAGAGATATACTGAATTCAACCTAGCTGACAAGCTAGTGTCGGAAATACTGCCACCGTCGGGACTCGAACCCGGAACGTCCCAGTTAGAGAGACTGCAGTGACATCAGTTGATGCCCTAGACCACCTCTTCCGGTATTCAGGGTTTCCAAAGTTCAGCTCCCTCTCTACACTTGTATTGCTGGCTTATCCTCTGATCCCTCCGCTCGCCATTCCGCTCTCCCCCCTCCTCCCACCCTCCCTCCTCCCTCTCCACCCCGCCTCGCAGTCCTGTGCGGCGCGCGCCGTCGGCGCCGCGCCGGGTTTATGGCTGGAACGCGCGACCGCAGTGCACCGCCACGCGCGCCGCGCCGCGCCGCGCCGCTCAGAACGGAAGAGGCCGCTGGTTTTGCGCCGGAGGTGTTTCCCTCTCCCGTTCATCTTCCTCGGGCCGTGGAGCCGCTGGTAAAAGATGATGCCGTTGTGTTGATTTTTCGCATCTGCCACGGGAACGAGAAGTAGATCGAGTTCGTTCGCTCAGCCAAGCACGATTTTGAGAGTTGGTTTTGTCCGCCACCTTTTGGTTGGATTTTTAAGACAATTCTAGAGGGAGAGACTAGTTCTTTTGGTTGTCTGCTTTTGTGATGGTGTGGTTGACGAATTTCGATCTACACGATAAAAAATGCTTACGCGAAAAGTATTGATATATGCTTTAAAACGTTAGGTGGATCTGGTTGACCTGATAATATACTGCCCAATAAAAAATCGATTATTGTTGTTGAAACATCTACATTCTCAAATATCCTTGAAATCTTTTAAATTAGATAATGAAGAGGGATCGCACAAATTTCAGTGGTTGTTATTTTATATGGTGAACAATTTTACAACTGCCTATTTCCAACAACAGCTATTTGTTGCAATATTTTGGGGGAAGATTAAATATATTTATGTACCACTAATACTAAACCAGTCAGCTAGTTGAAGATGAAGATAAATATACGTCTAAGTAAAACAAGATAATTGTCTTTTTAAAACCGTTATTTGCTTTTACACTGATAAACCAGTGGTGCTACAACAACACGTACTTTCTCGCGATATTGCAAATCGCTATGTAATATTATAATATGGTAATTTCTGTCTTACACTTCAACAACCAATTGAAAAATTAACAAACTTAAACAAACAAACAAAGCTTGAAAATACCTATATTTTTTAAATTCAAATTCTTAAACGAAAAAAGTTTTCCACCATTATATTCAGTTCCACATAAACATAACAACGATGCAAGATGCGTATTTTAGCCGTAAATAAAATTATTATTTTATATTAACGCGAAAGAAAAAGCAGCAGTCATTACTGCCTTCTGTTATCAATGAGTTACAAGCAACAAAATCGCTAATTCATATGGGATACGTACACATTTTGCCAATGATCATTGTTGACATTGTTAGCAAGAAAATGAAAATGGATAGAAAAATATAATATCTTTATATTCATCAGAATTGCCAGGTTTTTATATCCATTGCTTTTCATTCCTACATCGTGTTGTCTCGCTGCAGCCTAAACCCATCTCCGGAACTTCGAGAAGAACGTCTCGCAAGGAATGTGCACGTGCGCAGACTGTGAATGTCCTCTATTCCAACGCAAGCGAGGACCTCTA